GTAACAAGCTTCTCTTCTAACTGATGATGGTTCCTCTCCCTTGTTTCTCTCTTCTGTTCTTTAAGTTCTTCTTTGCTTGTGTGGACTGTAAACACTTTCCACTCAATGGCCGATGCAGTATCCGAGTAATCCGACTCACTATTGCTCCGCCCACTAAAAGAAATACGGAGGAGATACTCTGTATACTTTATCCACGTGCTATCACGTTTCTGGGAAATCCGTGAGTAAGCGTTAAAGCTGCGCATGCGCAAATTATTTACCCAGTACCACCTACATGTACATAGGCCAGGCAACCCCGCCTTATAAAAATGGCTTCGAAATCTCCTCCTCCAGACTCTTCATTTTTCTCTATCTTAAGTGAGTTCAGCATTGAAACTATTAGATCTGATTCATTAATACCCACAGATTGAATTTACTATTAAAACTGAGTACTAACTTATTCTGGTAACTAAGTCAGCTGCTAAAAAGAATCAATTTTTGGCATGTATGATTATATAGACCTCCTCAGGTGAGATTGATAGTGATGGGCGATATATCGATTCTTTATCGATATAAACAATTTTTTACGGAATCAATTTGAATCATTATCGAAAATTTTATGCAATTTTCATCGATCTATTGACCACGCCCATTTATTAAGGTTAAATAACTAATTTTAATAAGTAATTGCACTGTTGAACTGCAAGAAAGAAGCAACTAACCAGTTACTAGCTAAGCCTACTTTCAATAGGAAGATAACCAAGCTCAAGAGCATGGAAATGATTAGGAAATGATCTTCTCTCATGTCCAGTACAGTTATATCTGTGCTAAAATCATTAGCCACACCCCAAAATGAAGGTGTGGTTATCGTATCGTTTTAATAATCGATATTTCTTGAAAAAGTCCATTATTGATCGTTATCAAAAATTAAGAAAATTGGCCATATCGCCCATCACTAGAGATTGACGGTGGCCTATGAATATCATTACTGTTTATTACGGTATCCACCTACGGGGATGATTGGCTGCCATTTTGGACGGCAAGATTCAATGGAGGATGAATGAAGAAAAATCAAAACTAGTTTTTTTCGTTGGCATGGAGCTTTTTCAAGCTACAAAAGCTGGTTGGAGGAAAGAATGGTCGCTGCTAAGCATCTCCTAAAAGGGATTTGGTGCAATATAAATCATATTCTTTATTACAGCTTGCTTTTTGCATTAGCCCATTCATACTCCATAGAAAGTTGCCGTCCACGAAAATTATTTCAGAGTCAGACAGGCTCAGTCACGCCCCTTGCCGTATATCATTCTTTGACGTAATTCATTCTCACCCAAAGAGGTCTATATAGTTCATAAATATTATTTTCAATGATGAATCTTGTGTAGAGGAAGAGTTCTTCAATCACGCAGACCTCATCATCTGAAGGAAACATTACCACTTCAAGTACTACTGCTTTGGTAAGCGAAGCTTTCATACAATGTAGACCAGTTTGCGTTAAGTATATTCATAGAATTTTAAGTACCATAATTATAGCTGGAAATTTTGGAGGGAGTTAAATTTTAAATTTTGGTGATTTGCGCATTTGTGGCCATGTGCCATTGAGCATGCTCATGATGGTTCAAATGGCGAATTTTAATTTGGCAAATGGCTATTAAAATACCAAATTCAACTGCTTCAAGAATTTCCTGCTATACGGTATATTCATCGTGATACCGTAAATAAAGTATAACTTCTTGCTGCTGTAAAATGGTAGCAGTTTTTACTTATAAATGACACTCATTTAAGTTTTGCACTTTTGCTGATTGTGTAACCTATTATAATTCATTACTTGTTTATCTGCTTTATAAATAGCCTGTATTTTATCATTATTTTATTTATTATAGAATAATAGATCATTTCAAAAAGAAGATATATTATCACAAGGAGCTGAATAAATGGTACATACTGTTTGTTTTACATGCATACTAGCTAATGATTCATTGTAGAATAAGGAGTTATTTGAAGCTGCTAAAAGAGGTAATTACTTGTTCATCTGCTGTATAAGTAGCCTGTATTTTATCATTATTTTATTTATTATAGAATAATAGATCATTTTGAATAGAAGATATATTATTACAAGGAGCTGAAGAAATGGTGCATACTGTTTGTTTTACATGTATGTTAGCTAATGATTCATTGTAGAATAAAGAGTTATATGAAGCTGCTGCAAGAGGTGATTCTACTGGTGTCCAGTCTGCACTGTCTCAAGGAGCTA